ATTATTATTATTATTATTATTCTGTAGTGTGAAAGGACCACAACTTTTTCCATCTTTCAAGTTATAGCCCTTTGCTTATATCACATCAGGTTAATGGATAGCTCAAAACTTTGTTCTCATACTAAGGGACTCATGGGAGAAATATGGATTTCATATCAAGAGGGCACAGCTTGGAAAAATTACCTTTTTGAATAGCAACTCCCTAAATCGTCCAGCTAGTCTGGTCACTAAAGATGGTAAGTGAGGGTTACTGGGAGCTGTAACTTGTTCAGCCTTTGTAGGAGAGAGATGACTATGTGTCATGGGCTATTGCCATAGACATGCTGCTGAATTTCATCCAAATTACAATATGAAATGAATATGTTGTTCCTGAGGGTGTAACATTAGATGAAATTTTGAGGGATTTAAATGTATTTATTATCCTATCTTTTATGAGAACCAATGTCTTCCATAATTTTGGGGGTGTGCAGGCTTTCTACTATGGCCCTAAAATGGAATTATATAATTTGCCATGAGTCTAGAAGTGGGCAGACCACATACACCAGCCACTAATTTACAGATCAAAGCAGCTAGTTTGAAGAGTTGCAGTTACGAAGATTCACATCTTCAAAACAGAAAGATTAGGTAAATTTATAGCCCAAGATGTTCTCTGGCAGGGCTAAGAAAGAGCCATTCTCACCTCTGAATCCATCTATATAAAGGCAATCTTTGTTATGTAAATTGGGTACCTTTGAAGTATAGTAAACAACCTTTGCCTTAGGGTTAGATTTGGTCTATTTAAGGACCTCTAAATCTTTAGTTCAGTGTGCTGGTTGAAATTCTTGGTGAATCCACGTCACTGAATTTTGACTCAGCTCCAATCCATTGTCACTTCCTCCCATCCCTTTCTTGTGGCTTGGGTCCAAAAGCATCATTTCATCATTGAGCAGCCACGTTCAGGTTATTATCACCATTAGAAGGCCTTTTGTCTTTTCCAATGCTAACTACTTTATTCCCAAGTTCTTGGGTGAGTGAGTGAGTGAAAGGCTGTTTTAGAGTGTGTGTTTCCCCCAATAAATTTTCTAAAGCATATGAAATACTTTATCTCTGCCAATCTATTATTCCTAGCCACCTTCATATAAATAGGGATGCATCCTTGCTAATTAATTGAGCTAATCAAAAATCCCCAAGTCCAAGTTCATTCATAATATATCCCATTATTCTTCCAAGGAGCTTGAGGCAGCTCACATGTTTGGTCTGGCTGAAAATATAGGCCATGACATTCACTCTGGAGAGCAACAGAATGGTGCCCAATCATCTTTTTATTGGATTTTAAAATAAAATTTGGGGGTGTAGCATTTTTGAGATAGTGTCTCTCTCTCTCTCTCTCCTAAATAATAATAATAATAATAATAATAATAATAATAATAATAATAATAATAATAATAATTTTATAGTATTAACAATAATAAATTTATAATAATATTTATTTCCCTCCTCTTCTCAAGGTTTGAAGTGGGTTGCAAAGAGATCATCCAAAGAGATAATCATTTAGAACATTAAAGATGGTTATCGATTCTCTCAAGCAGTGTGGGTAATACAGCTCGTACAGTAAATAAAGCAACACTTTGAAGCAATGCATGACTACTATGGTAAACCTGAGGAAGGATGCATCTCTCTGTTACAATTTCTCCCAAATTCACTTTTTTTTTTTTTAAAAAAAAAAAATCAAAACACAACCAAATAAATCATAAGGTGTTTCTGTTCTGAATAGGGAAACATTAGTAAATTTTGGTTAATTATTCAGAAGTTACTAGATTGGATACAGGAGGGGGCTCCTGCAACTTTAATCCTTAACAGATTGCAGAGCAGAATTAGGTGACATAAAGCTCCCTCAAGTGGGAAGAAGGTACTTGTGGTTCAGTTTTACAAGGTGATGGAGAACAGGTACCTTTGTCTCTCTTGACACAGGTTTATAACTTTTCCCACTCCATATTCTGTTAAGGATTGAAATTACAGAAGAACTGTCTTGTATCCAACTTGACAACCTAACTCCAAGGTAAAATGAAACAAAAATATCCCTTCTCTGCAATGGCCAAATTAAATAGGTACAACTATCTCTGATATGGAAAGGATCACATTGTTCCTGCTTGCCATATAAGTCTATTAAAAAGAGGTGAAAAACTTAGGTTAAACACTTACAAGACTAAATTAAAGTTTCATACCCAGACCTAAAGAATAAAGACTCTAGACCTGAATAAATAACTCTGTTTCAATTTTCTCTGCATCAAAATATTTGAAATCTCAAGTCTTTTCCATTCCCAGTATGATGAAATTTATTATTATTTTTCAAGCTGAAATGTAATTCACTATGGATTTTGTATTCATTTTACCCTAAAATATATGTCCCATGTATCAATTTAACTTAAAATATGCATTATGTGCATTTTGGTATACTTTTTAGCCAAGGGGCAGAAAGCACAGAAACTAATTATTGCAGCCTGATACATTTATTAGCCTAGAAATTGCAAATCAGTTCTGTTCTCTAAAAATGCAGACTGAACAAAATCCTGCTCGTTGCCAGTCATTTATTTTTCCCATCAAAATGATTGCTTGGATTCATCTATATTTTATTTTGACTAGAGACACTCCCCCACAAAAATGGGCACTTAATGCTGAAAACTAGATAGATACTAGGCTATATAAACCAAAGAAACAGGGAAGGGTATGATCAGCTTACCAGTGGAACACACAACCTGTTTTCTTAATAGGGATAGTTGAGAAATTGCTTGGATTTATATATTCTTATGGACTTATTTGCCACTTCTCAAGGCTGCAAATGAGATGGACTGCTTCTTGCCTTGGAAATATGTGCAATACATTTGGAAAGGGGAAAAATGTGCCTGTTGCCATGTGTGCATTTACAAAATATTTGTTGTTGTTGTGTGCCTTCAAGTGGTTAACCACTTATGGTGACCTTAGTGTGTGGGAGAATTTGTTTGCAAATAAGGACTGAAGAAGAACTGCAGAGCAGTTGAATAACTCTGGATTTGCTGTTTCCATATATTTTGTGAGCTACATAGGATCCCTTCCACACATTTCACACTTTGTACATGGAGAATGTTTTGAAGAATCTTGAACAGCAATTTGTTACACTGGGTTATCTTATATTACCAATTTTGAGGGGCTTCCGTAATGTACACAGAAGTTTGAAATATAGTTTTATAAGTACAGTCTTCTGTTTTACAAGTAATTCTCATTGCTCTTTCTGTTCTGTTAGTGTTATTCCATTGCTCTGTTATTTGGGACCCCAAGGTTAACCTATCATGGGGTTTTCTGGGGCTGAGAGTGTGCGACTCACTCAAGGTCACTCAATGGGTATCCATGGACAAGTGGGGAATCTAACCCTGATCTCCAGAGTTGTAGTCCAATGCTCAAACCATCACCACACTGGCTATCTTACAAAATAGATACAGCTAATAAAATTTGCAACTTTTAAAAAGATATACAAACATGATTTTTTTTTCGGGACTATAACTCCAGAATTTCTCAGACATGTGGTGGGAATTCTAGGAATTGTAAACTTTCCTAGCTCTGATTAGGTCCATAGTTCCTCAGCACCACATTCTCATCTCCTTTGCCTCTAAAAAGACCAACCTAAAGCTTGCTAATTTTCATCTCACAAGGTTGATGTTGCTTTGGAACAATAGCCAGTGTGACAGATAGAGAAGATGGCTACTAGCATAGATGACATAGGATGAAGGTATGGATCCATCATTTTTCCAGTGCTGCCATATTTCCAGTGCTGCCATATTTATAATTTTTTAAAAAATTATAAATTTCTTTTAAGTTATCATAGTTCCCTGGGCTCTGTACCTGTTCTTCTGAATCTATCTTACCTAAAGATGCACCTGTGTGCATAATTTTTATGCAAACTGCAGTAAAGTAGTAAAGATGCATCCTATGATGTGTACAATTTTTATGCAAATTCCCCCCCTCCAAAAAACCCCTCAAAACAAACAGTAGGAGAAGAGAAAGGGAAGGATACCACTCCCCTGCCAAAGAAACAAAACAAAACCCCAATTCCCTTTGACATAAGCACCTTTAATGCCAGCCTTCCATGATTGTTACTTAAGGACAACTCTTATTGTCTCCCATTTTCTGAGCAATGGTCCTCAAAGGATATTAGGGTTCACATGCCCCCGTTTTATATATCCCTCAAATGTAAAGACTGCTTTTGCACATAAATTTCAACACTTGCAGACTTGATTCTCTTGTTGTCCAGGAGCAACAACTGATCTGAGATGGGATTTGCTTTTTTAGATACATTTATTCTGGCTCCTCAGGAAAAGGCTCTGTCACATGGGACACTCTACCAGTAGCTATGCTGAAATCAGCATAGCCTCTTGCCTCATGCTGCAATCTTACCACAATAGCACTATTGCAGAAAACAACTCTACAGTACTTGGAACATGGCACATTATACAATGATACCAAAGATTCTTAGAATCCAAATAAGTGATGGTCAAAAATCTCAGTCAGTAATATCTGGTAGACTGTGAAACTAACTACTACTACTACTACTACTACTATTACTACTATTCAGTGGCATCACTAGGGAGGTGTGGATCACACCAGGTGACACCATAAGGAGGGTGACACCACTGCTCATCAAACACCTACTTTTGGCAGAAATGGGCTGTGGCATTAATCTGCTTCCCTTTAAAATGCTTTAAAAGATGCTGTGGGTGAAGTTCAGTAAAGGAGAGGCCCCAGAATTTTTAAAATTCAAATTTCAAAATTCATTTTTAAAAGTTTTTTTTTATCCTTTTAATTTTTTTTTAAAAAATCACATTTTAACCAAATCTTTACTATGCATATGTAAACACATTTAGGTTG